CTGATAATCAAGGACAGGGTGGCATATTAAAACATTGTGATCTACCTCTGTTTGCTGTCAGGCAGACTGGCCTGACTGCAGGTTGAGAGGGGAGAAGCACAAACCCTGAGCAGCAGGTGGGGAATTGCACTGGTTAAGTGAGAATAGCAAGGACACCTACATGTGGCAGGAGATTTGCAATACAGCTGTTGCTTTTCTTCCACCTGTGGAAAATAGTAGATAATGAGTATTTTCCACCTGTGGAAAATAGTAGATAATTACTTAATTGTAATTATCAGTAAGGGATTACAAGTGATGAATGTGCTGACCCTGGAAGGGCATTTTCCTCCTGCGTATGATTGGCTGTCAATTGAAAGCACAAAGATATATGCTCCTGACCTCTACAAGTATTTTCCTAGAGCTGGTAGGTCTGAGGTATTTCTTCAGGGTATGTGCTGATCCAAAGTAAAATCCTACTCTGAGGTGTGTTTTGCCAACCTCTAATTTGCCAGCAGAAGCGCCTGCAAGTTGGCAAATGCCTTACAACTGCAGGTGGCCCCTAGTACCTTGCTTTAAAAATCTTCTGTCCTGCTAAGTCTTTTAAGGCTTCCAGAGTGACTTGGACACAAACACTCCGCAACCATCTGCCTAGGAGCTGAAGCAATCCAGGCTCCGACTTCCCTCGAGTAGGGGAGCGACTCTTCCCATTGCAAGGTACAGGTAACCCTGGCCTTTTTTTGGAACACAAAGCTGTGTTAACATAAATAGGATTAAGCTTAACTCCACCATAATCCTAATAACGTGTGCTCTGCATAGTAAATCTTAGACTAGGCTGATAGGTTTTTCTTCTGAAGATCCTGGTTTTAAAAGAAATATTGTTGCAGGAGTAGAGCAATGTGAGCCCCATCAAGTCTTCAGATTTGGCTGACCAGAAGTTCAAACCAAAATGCAGGGAGAAATGGGAAACTCCTGACTGGTCAGTGGTTGAAGGAAGAGTTATTCATCTAATTAGTCAGTAGTTATGAAGGAAGAGGGTGAGCTAGAAAAACCATAGCTGTCCCCTCTCTGGTTGCTCTTGGATGTAGGTGTTAGCCATACCAGGTTGTAAACTGGCAAGGGAAAGCTCTAGGGATTTGTTCAATCCTGGGAAGTTGGGAGCTTCTGCAGGAAGCTGGAGTCGCATAGTTACAGCATCACAGGAATTGCTTTAGTAAATCCTACAGGATATTTCTCCTCAACTGGAAAGACAAAAAGATAAAAGAGAATTTGAGCAGCTGTCAGAGCAGGGACCCTGAGCAGGTTTGGGGGACTACAGGGTCCAGCCTCCCAGGCACAAAGGCTTGCTCTGCATCCTCTACTCAGTCCGAGTTGTGCTCTGCTCCTTGCTCTGCCTCTGGGGTTAGTGTCTTTTTTTGCTAATGGTTTAGAAAGCATAAAATCTAGTGTCCTCCTCTGTTGTCAGGAAGCAGCGTGAAAGCCCAGGGGGGACAGCCTTGAAAAAGGAAAGGAGGAGTACTTTAGAGGTGTGTCATCCACCTCCTTGTTTGGTTCCCAGCCTCCTTTGTCTCCTTGGAGTCCTGCTTACTAAGAGGAGCTGGGACCTGTGTGAGACCGCACGGGGACACATGTATAGTTTGAGCTGGGATGCCTATAGCCACAAATGGCGACGGAGCACGTGTCTCGTGTGAGTGTTTTGTGGACAGGTGACAGGCACAGGCTACCACTGTTTTTGTGGGGTAGAATAGGCTGTGTAGAGCTGCTGTTCTCACGGCAGAATACGTCCTAGCAAATCTTCATCTCTGTGCTGGAAGATACCTGTAGCGCTCTCTAGAACAGGTGCTATGAATGATGTCCATCCCAATAGCAGATTGTGTTGCTGTGGTGCTGCTTAGGGCTGTTGTGTTGTCAAGTGAGATAGCTGTCTTGGGTTCTGAAACAAATGGAATTCTGAGAGAGTGAAAGAGGTGTGTGACTTTTTTATGGGTCTGGTTCATTAAACTGAACCAGTGGCTGTGGATCAAGGCCTTGTGTTTGTGTAGGGCTTTAAGGTGTGGCCCACAATGTCCTTGTTGCTCAGGTCATGCTAGCTGATGAGGAAGCCACAGAGTGGTGAAGCAAAGTATTTTTGACTCGCTATCTTAAAAAATTGCCTTTGGCGTTTCTGCTGAGTAGCTTGGGGGCTTTGTCCCTTCAAGCATTTAACACCACTTTGCTGTTTTTAGGTCACTAAGCTTTTATATTTGTTATTTTCTTGTAAGTTCAGTCACCTGTTCATCTCGCCTGCCAGAAGTGACAACTTACTCCCTGGGTATTTTTAGCTTTGCAGCAATCCAGGTCTCTTGCTAAAGTCATTAGATCTTTTCGGTTTTGGATACAAAATCAGGAAATGTTGATCAGTCCAACTGGTCTGAGCTTCTCCTGGAAAATTTTATGCTTTAGTAGGAAAAACAGTAAAACCAACCACCAAATTAGGTCGCTAATGAAATGTAAGTCTGCAGTATCACAGCAGCTACTGGTATGAAATTACTTTGTAATGGTGACACCCATATTCCATGGCTTGGAAATCCTCCTTTTGATTTGATAATAATAATTTAAAATGTAATTACACTGGAATTTAGGAGTGACTTTTTTAATAATAACAATGTGAACCTTCTCATCCTTTTGAGACACACTAAAAGCAAAAATGCCTTCTTAGGAATGCATGAAGAATGTTCAGAGAGAAGAAATAGAAAACAAACTGCTTAGTGAAAGAGTCTATTTTCCTTTGAGTGAAAAGAGAAGTGCCAGGATGGAAGAACCATGTAGGCTCCTATAAAAATTACTTATCTTCTGTAGTCTGGAAAGGGCTGTGCCTTGTAGATTTAGTATCATAAAACAGTTTCAAACTTCGACACAATTTGAAAATTCGCAACAAGGCAGCAAACACAACTGTAGTAAGATTACACAGACTTGGGATGCCTTTTTCATGCTGCAACCCTACTCAGTCCATCTTTACCTATGAATCTAGGTATTTTGATAATGATGCTGCATTACGATAAACAAACCTACCTCTTCTCTCTGGTACTTGTTTGAATAAGTTGAAGCTTTACTGAATCTGTGTAATAGAAGGCTTGTGGTCACTCTGGCATTAGACTGTTGTGAGACTGAACCTCAGTGCCCACATGATCAGTTAAAATACAGCTGTAAGAGGTGAGGGTGCTTTTTGCAGCTAGCAAGAGTTACCGCTGCTGTTATGAAAATGAGCACAGGATCGTGGGCCTGTAGTGACAGGACAAGGGGTAACGAGTTTAAATTGAAAGTGGGAAGGTTTAGATTAGATATCAAGAAGAAATTCTTCAGGGAAAGGGTGGGGAGCACTGGGACAGGTTGCCCAGAGATGCTGTGGATGCCCCATCCCTGGGAGTGTCCAAGGCCAGGCTGGATGAGGCTTGGAGCAACCTGGTCTAGTGGAAGGTGTCCCTGCCCATGGCAGGAGGGTTGGAACTAGATGGCCTTTAAGGTCCCTTCCAACCCAAACCATTCTGTGGTTCTATGATCACCAACTTGTGTGTGAAAGTCAAAGCTTGTTGATACTCCACAGGGCCCAGTAGTACTAAGTAGAAAATCAAGCCCTCTGAAATGGAGCAGGCAAAACTGACCTGCATCGTTGCCATTACAGCCCAAGAAGAGTGTGCGGATCCCATCCACATGACAGGCCAAGTCTGTTCCAGTAAGCATGCATCAGGTCTGCCACTCCTGCTGCCTTTTCTTCAAAAGCCATCGGGCTCCCCAAGCTCATCTCCTCTGTTCTGCTCTCAGCTCTCTGCTGAGTGGGTGGAACTGATTGAATACAGGTCCAGTCACCTTTCTGAACCAGCAGACCAAACCATAGTGTGATTAACGTTGGATTTCCTATGTCAGGATAATTAAGAGTGAAGCTCTGACCAGATTGTGACTTCGATGGGCTGTAAAAACATAAATTCTGACATTGCTGAGATAATACAGAATGGAGACTTAAAACCTGCTGCATCGGCAGAATAATGGGAAGCTTAGTGAAAAGGGAGGTAATCCCATAAATGGATCAGTTTGTTTACCCTCCGTGTACCACAGCAGCCCTGCCTAGATGGATTTCAGTGTTACCACTGCTCCTGCTATCCATGCAAGTGCTACTGAGAGTGGGATGGCAGGGGAAAAGTCATGTGAATCTGCTCTTTGCTTTTCAGTCACTTACACCAGGTGAGTTGTCACGCTGGCCAGAAGCCTGAGCTTGAGTTTCCCTGGTCTTCCCCTTGTGGCAACCCACACAGCTAGATTAAAGCAGCATCCAGTGCTACCTGCTGGAAAGGCACTGCCCCTTGCTCTCGGGTCTTGCAGGTGTTAAGTGCTGTGGCAAGCCAGCTTCCACATGTACAGAAATAGAAATTGGGCCATTAGAAATGCTGATGCAGCTCCAAGGGAATGGAGGAAGGGGCCTGTACAACAGGGTGTCTTTTCCCTTTTGCGTGAACTGCTAGATGAGCCCTGCTGGGAGTAGTAAGGAGGGAGGCTGTTGTCTTTTCCAGGAAATCTGTCCTGGTTAGGTGTTTTTTTGTAGATAGCATAATTTAATGGGAAATAACACAGGGTTTCTTGTTTCTGCACTGTGGGTTTCCTACTTTCTTGATATGTAGAAGAAAACAGTGTGGATGGGACACTAAATGCTGTGAGCGAAGCAATTCTGGCACAAAAAAAATGAAGGGATGACAGCATTGGTTTGGCACCAACCTAGATTAAGTGCAATGTAAAGGTCTCTTCTCAGTTGTGCTTACATCACGAGTCCTGTCCTGCTGCCTGCTTGCTCTTCCTGTCCTGGCGTGAAATGAGCTGCACCATTGTGCAGGGGTGTCAGTCAGGGCTCCGCAGGCTTTGGCATGAGACCGCTGGTGTTAGTTCTCAAGGGCAAAAGACAGTGAGATCTGTGAAGATGAAAGAGAAAAGTGAGAGCTATGCAACTTCCTCCTGAAACGGCAATGATGTGCAAACATTTTGTTTTCTATTTTCAGCAACAACTACAGGCATATGTGGCCTGGGTGAATTCCCAGCTGAAGAAGAAGCCAGCAACAAAGCCAGTCCAAGACCTGAGGCAAGATCTCCGAGATGGAGTCGTTCTGGCTTTGCTCATTGAGATCGTCGGTCAGTAATGCCATATGGCATTGGTTTTCATCTTGCAGTTTTAGATCTTGTGTTGAAGAGGGTGGCCTTTCTCTGACATCTGTCAGGCAGAGTGGCAGATGTTAACGATAGCGTCAGACCTTGTGGAGGTTGGGGGGAAGGAGTGACCTTTTAAAGAAAACAATCATAAACCAAATCATAAATGGAGTTTTATTCAAGTCGTTGATGTTTTATCAGACAGTCAACAACAGATATGCTAAAACCTGTCAGGGACCAAAACCTTGCCATGTAAAGCCAATACAGTCTCGCACCCAGTTGTTTCTGGTACTGGATACCTTATAAGCAGGACAAGAAGCCATGCATGCCTCTTGCAGTACCCAGACAAGACAGGCCCTGCCCATAGAGCAATTCCTGTGACAGGATCAAGCTGTTCAGTTCTTAACTAACCAAGTTGTTCCACTCCTCTAGCTGGTGAGAAGTTGAATGGCATTCAGGTCAACCCCTCCAGCCAGCAGGAGATGAGGGAAAATGTGGAGAAAGTCTTACAGTTTGTGGCATCAAAAAAGATCCGCATGCATCAGACTTCAGCAAAAGGTACGTGCACCTGGTGGACACCCCAGATGGTTCAATCTGGTAAAGGCTTGGTTCGGTGTTTGTTTCGTATCAAACAGATAATGTACTGGGTTGTAGGGGCGTTTGGGGGGTTTTTCCTCCTGTAGTTGAGTAACAGGTTTCGGTTTGAATGCTGCTGTGTTCTTGACTGCTTTTGGTAGCAGCACAGTGCACAGAAACAAAAGTGCCTTTTGTCTTGCCCTGAGCAATCAGAAGATAAGTAATGGTGTAATGAGGAATACAGACTTGGAATATTTCACTAAAAGGACATACAAACCCACTAGTATGAAATGAGACATGGGAAAAATATTTCTGGTCCACTGGAAGCCTGTGATCCTGTTTTCATGGGCTGTAAATAGGGAGAGACCCAGCATGCAAAATGATGTGTCTCTGGCATGGTTTAGTCAGATACCACAAGGATTTCTGGTGTGTGTAGATCTGTGGGGTATAAGACAGCCCTGATCCTTACTGTTTGCTGACTGTACTGGTGGAGGATACAGTTCTGATTGTGGCCCTTTAGACGAGAAAGAGTGGAAAAATGCTGAGGTGGCCCACATGGGGTGCATATGACCCTTCTTGTTAGAAGAGTACAAGCTGTTGGTTTCCAGGCCTTGGTGAGGGGCTTAGAATTCAAATACAGAGTAATTAGTACTGTTCCCACAGTGCTAGTGGCAGATTGGAGGCTGTCCTGTTGTTGTCAGTAATGTTGCAAGCTGTCTTATAAGCTCATGACTATAGAAACTATAGCGATACTGGTAAAAAAATTCTTACATAAGCAAGGGTATCAACCTGGATACGGAACGAAATGATGTCACGTGGTCATAGGACAGGATACAGGTAAGAGACTCTGGGACATGCTCCAGAGCTCCAGGCATAGTTCTGATATTAACTCATTCTAGGACTTCAAACAACTCACACAAGCTTTTGGTCTCACGTTCTCCATGAATGACGTGGAGGTAATCGTTGCCGTGCCTTATTTTGGCTATTTGTAATTTTTTGGCTACTAAAGCAAATAATAACCAGCCTTCATGCCTCCAGCACATCTGACTTGTTTTTTAATTGAAGCGACTGCTCACACAGTGGTAGTCTTCAGTAACTGCTCTATTTTTCCAGTGAGTGTTCAGTCATTATCACATGCTGTCATGGCATTAACGGGAAGTGGCCATGGAGGGAAGCCTCAGGTCTGTTCTGAGCATTTCAACTTGTGATCTGTAGGTGGTGGTCTGCTTGCTGCTCTCTGCAAAACAAGCAGAGCTGAACATAGCGCTGTAATGCAGTCCTTTTTGCATGGTCCTTGTTTACTGGTACGATCCCATGGCGTTTAATTTTATTCATGCTTGTGGGTCAGGTACAGCTCTGGTGGGACTTCCTGCTAATGGCATTGTCTTTGGCTTTATTTGCATTTTGCAGATATTGTTGATGGGAGCTTGAAATCTATCATGAGGTTGATCCTGGCCTTAGCTGCTCATTTCAAACCAGGGTCTGGGAGAACAATCAATCACAGCCCTGCTGGCCTGGTGGGGAAGAGCTTGTCAGCATCGTGTGCCAGTCACAGGCCTCACTCGGCTGCTGCAGTGGCCCAAGGGGCGGTAGCTGCTCTGGCAGATGTTCGTCAGGATGTCTTGCAATCCGGCCGAGATGTTTTCCAGCACAGACAGAGGTAATGACTGTTCCCTGGTTATGTGAGGCCAGGTGATGTGAGCAGATGGCCACAATTTCTTTTCAAGTAGATGCTTCTTTATCCTGACAATTCCTGGTGTAAGGTAGCTCTCCTGCTGTGTAGAGATAAACTGCTGCCGCCTCACTGAAACCTAAATAGTAGTGGTCTAACGAAGGGGAGAACTGACCTGGCTTGGCTGCCTCATGATGAAGACTGCAGGTATCCCAAGTTCTTCTTAGTTTTTCCAGCAAAATAACTGCTGGATCTCTCACTGGAAAATAATAGTTTTTTATGGCCAAGCCAAGTGAAATCTGCTGCCTCACCTTCACCATTTCATGCTGTGCACAGTGCTCTTTCTCAGTGCTGTCTACTTGGGGACATTCTCATTTCAAGTGAAACAAAGGAAGGGCTCAACTACAGGTACGGGTTACAGATCTGGGAACGGTTACTTGCGGAATCAAGGCAATGGGCCCGTTGTACAAGCCTGTTCCGTCAGGCATGTTACCGTTCACCCCGGCGTGATGCTTACTGCTCTGTAGGCGGATGCGGGGTCTTGTGTGCTGTTCATCAGCGGAGGCAGCCTACCATGCAAGCAGAGGAGTCCCGCTGATACTGAAGGGAGATGACCCATGTTCGGAAGGCATGTGTAATTCTGAAAAGCACATTTAACACTTGTAAAAGGTGCTATGTGAATTGATAATAACACTCATGACATTTAAGTGGAAGACAGGTGGTGGTGTGTGGAGGGTTTAATTTACACTGAAGGTCGTTTGCCCATATTATATTGGCTCAAGGGAGTACCCGTGAAGCAGTTTGGAAATGAGGTTGGAATGGTATGTTAAAGGTTTCTTTTGCAAAGGCCTTGGGCCAGGAGCTCTTCAGAAAAGCCAGTCCTTGTGCTGTTTGCAAAATCTGTTGTTTTCCTTGTCTTCAGTCTTGTAGTTTTCTAGTCACAGAATTAGGGATGAGTTTAAAAATGGACAGTCTGTTTGCCTGTGTCTGCCTCAGAGCAAGAAGATGGGATGAAGCTCCCTGATAGGATAACTTTCTTAATTGGCAGTTTCCTAGCTGTCCTCTCCTTCTCTACCTTCCCTTCATTACCTTTCCTACCCTTCCTCTTGGAGACAAGAAGGATTTCTGAGTTTTCTAGTCACAGAATTAGGGATGAGTTTAAAAATGGACAGTCTGTTTGCCTGTGTCTGCCTCAGAGCAAGAAGATGGGATGAAGCTCCCTGATAGGATAACTTTCTTAATTGGCAGTTTCCTAGTTGTCCTCTCCTTCTCTACCTTCCCTTCATTACCTTTCCTACCCTTCCTCTTGGAGACAAGAAGAATTTCTGCTCCTATCAGCTGATACTTCCCTCACTCTATGATGATTATCTCCAGAAATAGCAGCATGGATGAGGAGATTGGAAATCCCTACTGGAGTGTCCGGGCACTGGTGCAGCAGTACGAAGGGCAGCAGAACATGCCATTGGAGTCCCACTCTTCCAGGTAAGGAACTGTATTGCCAGGATGTGTCCCCTTGTCATCCTTTTTCTGGCATTCCCTAAAGTGCCTTTTCTTATCACTGACCTGGTTAGCTCTGATAGGAAAGAGGATTGCCAGCATCAAGTCTCCTGCCTGGTCTGGAGAATGAAACCGTGTTTTTTTACTGCCATTTCTCCCACAGATAAAATTGACCTCATTCATGGTGTAACTGCATAGATAAGAGCTAGGAACTTCTGAGTTACAACTATCTAAAGCACTGGAGTGTCCCGCAGTAAGACCAGAGGAATGGGATTAGGGAAGACTCGGGTAAAGATTTTACTGGCAACCTGAATGTACAGGTGGAGCTCTTTGAGGAAGTGCTGACATGAGGGATACTGGAATGGAGTTTGTGGCTTGCTTCACAAAAGGGAAGGGATGGAGTACGTAGGGTGCAAGGGATGAATATTTGATGAGCTGATGGAAAAGCTGTGGAGGAGAGGAACTTAAACCAGCAAACCTCATACCCTGCAGAGAGATGGAGATGAGGGGGCATGTGGAGTTGAACAGCAGTCTTTAACCCAGATGTATGGTCCTGGGGAATCTGCAGCTGTCTCTGTTGCTGTCATGCCCTCATCCATCACCTTTAACTGTCTGTAGATTTACAGTTATCTAATTTACCCTTCCATCCCCCAGTCTTTCACCTTCAGTTTAATGTGCAGCATTTAATTATGCTACTGAAAAATCTCAATGCACACTGCTATGAAGGCTGAAAGTCAGAGTTCAGCATGGTTTCCATGGGAGGTGACGTTCCCCTTGGAAGTAGGACTTGGATCCTGAGCAGGATGTGCTCTGGGCTATAAACAGCCTGCAGCGTTGACTGGGGTTCTTGACGGCACAAGTTGTGCAAGGTCAAGCTGGTGCAAGTGGAGGCTTTTTAAGGAAGTGGAACCTGTAGGATACAGGGTGGGTTAGAGTGGCAGCATATAATACATTTCCAATAGGAGGTGCCACAACTTGCAGCTGTGAACCTGAGCAGCGTGTGCCAGTTACAACATCTTGCATTGGTGCCTTACAAGCTCTTCTTACTACCCCTTGCTTTGGGGCACAAGTCAAAACTCTTGCCCTGATGTGCATGAGCAGTGGAGGGAGAGGGAAGACACATCCCTGTGGTGTTTTCATGGAGAGAGGAGGGCAGTGCAGCTGAAGGGGCTTTTGAAGAAAGACTACTACAGTGGGGGAGCAGATCCATTGTGGATAGCTTCATGGTAAAGGACGACCTTTCCCGTTTTCCCCAGGGAACAAGAAACTAGCTTGAAGACTAAGGACTGTAACTGTATGTGCTAGATGTCCCTCTGGATATGATGCTTTGCTCCATTTAATCTCTTCTGGAAGAGACTTAGAGAGCATAGCTTCTCTTTGATTCAGTTTCCTGTCCCCAGTGTAAACCTAAACTCTGCTTTGTTGTCTCCTGGTCCTGCCTGGGCTGCTCCCTAAAAGTACCTCAACTAAATAGATAGCGCCCACCCTCTCCGGATTTGTGCCGGAGTGAGAAGGTTCATTTTCCTAGGACAGATTGCCACTCCCAGATTCTCAGCAGGTAGGCTGTCTCCACAGGATCTCTCAGGCCACTTCTGATGCTCCATAGTACAAAGAGGCCTCCGTGTACCTGAGCATAAAGATCGTTTGGCCCAACAGTGAAGAAAAAATACTCAGTGGTTTGTTCTTACCCCCAAAATTTGCTGTATCTCGTTGTGAGGTGGGTTTTATGCAGACATACACACTAGGGAGAGTGTGGGAACTCCATGTGGGCGAGTAAGGGGCCACTGCCTCCACATGATGTCAGTAGAGAGTGTACTTCGGAAGCTGTCATTCCAGGGCAGACGTAAAAATTCGGGTCTTGGCAACAGGATTCCCATGTCACTGGGCTTTGGTGTTGACTCTTGAACTGTGGTCTCAGTAGAACAGCGAGTGAAACATGCCGCTCCCTCCACTCGTCCTTCATTTTAAGGTAGCTGTGGTATTCCACATGTGCTCTTCTGCCCTGTCATGGATTGTCAGACAACCGCTGTTTGCTCCGATGGGGCTGTGTTTTGGCCCTGAGCGAACATTTCTCTGCACATCCTCAATCACTGTGGTGTAGGGTGGGGTTTTTTTCCCCGTTGTGTCATGAGCTCTCTTACCATATGGTAACGGTGATATTATTGCTGATAGGACATAATAAAGTAAGAATCTTTACATAAGTGATCCGTGATTGACCCAGAGAAATTGGGAGCAACCTGCCCTTCGGGCCCTGGGGATGTCTTCTGGTGACGCCAGGCTTCGTGATGAAAACAAGGTGTTTGTTTCGCTTTCCTTCCAAAGAGAAATGTACTAATAATTATGAGAACTGCTGGGAGAAACAAGCCCCTTCTTTTATTAGTGCGAGATGTTATTAACTGCAGCCACCCCCCTCTATCTAATTGTGCTGCTGCCGTGTCTGTCCCAGGGCAGCGTCCCCTGCCCAGCCTCAGCTCGTTTCGGCATGAACTCCTCAGTAAGAGAGCTCACAGCCCAAATAACGCAATTCCCACAGACAAAAGCGCTAGTAAGCGAAGGCAATTGAAATGATTCATGGAAAATTTGCCAAAATCAGATGGATTCCCAGGCCACTGAGCCCCTCGCCCATCCATCTCCCTTTCCCCTCCCCTTCCACCAGCCTACCCTCCCCCACTCGAGCCAGGCATCTCAGAGAAAAGGCTCTGCCTTGCACAGCCTGTGTGGCAGCAGGAGGGAGAGGGAGCCGCGCTGCATGCCATCTTCCCAGACCGCATCCAAGCCTGGGAGAGGAGGGAACTCGCCGCGTGCAGGACCACCTTCTCCTGGCTCTGCGTTGGCGTCTGCAGCAGATGCGTGGAGTCTGAGGAGGGCAGGATGGGATGAGAAACGCCACTGGCAATCCAGATTGCAGTCCGTGTGATGAAAACAACTGGGTGTGCAGCTGACCAAAATGCAGCAGCAGGAGACAAATAACCCGAGAGGAAAACCAGCAAAAGCAAAACCCAGGCTGCAGAATTCCCCGACTCTGGAATCAAATACGTGCGTGGAGGCTGCTGATCTGCCATCTGACTTTTTTTTGCAAAGACCCTGAGGTTTTTTGTTTCTGCTGGGAATCTTTCAGCTAACGTAAAGCGGTCTGGCTTGCAAATATTTCTCCGGTAGTTTGACAGGAGCTGGCGTTTTCTGCACTGCGTTCTGAGCGTGTGAAGGGACAAGATATGTCTGTAGCCAGAATCCTGAGGCTCCCCAGGAAACGGATTCTGTGAGGCGAAAGGTTACAGTGGGATCATGGGAGGGAAGCAGGTCAAATGGTGAGCGATTGTTGCCGTTGTCATTTGAAACAGCAGGGATGGGGTGTTTATTAGAATCATGGGAATTCCGGCATCGCTGGGGCTGTTGCCCTAAAGCCTTCATTTGGGGGCACTGGCAACTCTGCAGCTCAGTGGAGAAAAGATATGGGTTAAGAAACCAACTGGCAAAAGTGTAACAGTCTGCATCATAAATCTGTCTTAAACAGCTTTAATTTCCCAGCACTTATTTCTGCATGCTTTAATCACAGATGGTTATGTACTTAAAGAACAAATTACATCAGTGGTTATTTCATACTCTAATGGGTTTGACAGATACAAAAACTGTAGAAATGTTTCCAGCATTAACGTGACAGCACAATCTATGAGGCAGCCTGACCTGTGCTACTGCTTCGTGTGAGTGCATCTCAGTGGCTCTTTAACTGTTTGGCGTGGTTTGGGAGGAGGTCACTGCTGCCATCTGAACCCACTGGACTTTTAAGGTAGGGAAACTGCCTGGAAAAGGGACTGTGGACATAGGAATGCCTAAGCAATTATCTGGACAACTGTCTATGTTGTGGAGACCTGTAGTGACCGCTTACCCCACCCCCCATACCTCAGCTGGCATCCTTTCTATTTGCTTTGGGCTGCGGATCCAGTGCTGCCAAGAGCAGACTTCAGGGAGAGGGAATGTTATTTCCAGGTTCTGTATCCCCTTGTTTACTGTCCTGCTCATTCTTCTTTCCAGTTCCCTGCTCTTGCCCACCCTTCAGTTTCACCACCTTCTCACCCAGCAGTTGCTAATACCGTTTTTCTAGGCCAGCTCTCACTCATTTATCTTTCGTGTGAATGAGAACCAGCAAAGTACTTCTTGGCGGTCTTATCAGGGTGATGGCACATTCAGAGAATCAGCTGAGGAACTGGGGGGGGACTACAGAGATCTGTTCCTAGGAGGAAGTGAAATCACCCTCAGATTACGGGACACGTTAGATCGGATGGGCTTCCTGTTTGTACCTGTGCTGTTTGAAAGTGTCATCCTTTCCTGTGACCATTGGTGTATAATGCAAAGCCAAGTACTCTTTGTGGCTGTGGAAGCGGACCAGACCGGAGCTGCTAGCCAGTCATTTCCATCTCTGCTGCGAGGCTTTCCCGATTCTGTGAGCGTGCCATGGAACATGTAGCAGCGATACTGGGAAGATGCGGAAGGCCGAGCTGTTGAAGTCTCTTATTTTTCTAAACCTATTGTATTATTTCCACGCTGTGTTCTTTTTGTTCTCTGGCCTTTGTGTCTGTGTTAGGGAGAATGAAAAATTAACTCACGCTCACACTTGCAAGGATTAGTTTGTGACTTCAGCGGTATGTGGAATGGGTCAGTGAGCTTCAGCTGCCTTTTGATGTTGTCTGGGTGATGCATTTAGGAAGAATTTCTGGAAAAAAAAGGGTTGCTTGAACCTCACAGTCAGCTGAGATGGATCCAGTGAAAATATGTGGGTACTTTCAAGAAGTTTCAGCCCAAGGACATGAGTGGTACATGGCTTTAACAGATAGTTTGCCTTGGAATTTCAAGTTATTGAGGTGGTGCTTTTGAAAGCTGGAGCAAGAGAAGAAGCAACCAGGGTGCCTTTTTGTTCAGCTTGCAGAGTGAACGTACGGCTAAGAGTGAATTGTGTCGGAGCAGACCTTCGTTGGAGCGTGGCCTTACGCGCCTGCATGAGCATGTGGGGACGCCGTGGTGGCAGTCCCAGACTTCCTTCCTGTTAAGGAAAAGGGAGACAGTGCTGCCTACCGGTTAGCCTGCTGACACTGATGGAAAAGTTACATGCCCCGTGTGGGTTGTTCATGGCCTCTCTAGTATGCAGATAACTTAATTTCAATAAGCCTGTCTGCGTGTACACTTACACCTGACGTGAGGATGCTGTTGATCAGTTCTAGAGGTAACGGTTTGTCCTTTCCCCCGCAGTCTTACCTCACCCAGTCCTATCCATAGTGCGAAGAGCGAATCCACCGTAGCCCCGTCAGAGGAGAAGGAAAGACTTGTGATCATCCACACAGAAGAAACAAAAGCTAAACCAGGTACCTTGCAGATAATGCTTTTCAGCTCATGCTTTGAGTGGGGTTTGTTGGTATCATAAGCTGGCTTAAGAGATCCCCTGCAACTGAAACGCATGTGGAGAATGTGATGCTGACTCTCTGTTCACGTAAAACTAAATCCCAAAACTTTTATCGCTCCAATAATGCCTTAATATGGCAACGTCTGGAGCTTGCATAATAATGCTTGGGAGATCCTAAGCCCTGGAGAAGAATTGAGGGTGATACATCATCTTCAGTGTAGGGTGAACATTGAATGACAGCCTCATTAGGCTGTGTTGAAATACACATTTAAAATTCCCTTCCAGAAAGAGTCCATGTGAGCTTGTCAAGCCCATGATGTGTAACTGGGCTTTGTGTAGGGGTCTGTGTTGAGAGCACAGGTCTCGAGTGGGTCGTTGCAAGGAAGGGAACAGTTACAGTAGCGTGGTGATGTTTGCGCTGAGAAGTCGCTGCTGTATTGCCACAGATGCCCTGTGAGATGGTCAGTTCCCACCTGGAATTTTCATACAGATTGAAGGAAAGGTTTTCAAAGGAATTCTGAAGGGATTTGTTTGTTTCTTTTCTTTCTCAGAAATGCAGCCCAGTAACTCTTTCTGGTTAGCTTCCATCCCAAGAGCAATCGGCAGCGAAGCACTCTTCCTAGGAAATGCTTTGCTCCCTTCGCCAGTCTTGTCCTGCTTCCGTGCTCCTTTGGAAGTATCTGACTGACTGTCTCAGCAGCTGAAGTAGCTGGCAGGCTGTGGGTTTTCCTTAAACTCTTCACAGTACTGTGTCTGCTTGCTGCCCGTACAGTAGGATACTGCAGCTGCCTGTCTACAGAGGTACCGCAGCTTGCACTGGGCGATGTAGCTTTCGGTCAGCTAGCTACCAAGCACTGCTGTGATAACTCCTCACCAAACCTCATCCCTTCTTAGGGAAGAAAAATCTGCGTTCCTGGGCCAGCCAGTGGACGGTAGTTCATCAGCGATCCCGCTTACGCTGCGAAGATGAGAAAAGGCAGGCGGGGTGATTAAACTTGCTGTTGAAAGTCTTTTTCAGAATTAGGTGTGTTGTCCACCTTGAGAAAGCCATGTTATTTGACAAGTAGAAATACTGTCTAATGTTGCTTTCGGCATGTCTGTGGAGCAGTCTAACACTAAGGCATGTCCTTCAAATCCCACAGTTGCTTTCTCCCCTTAGGAATGTTCCACCTCAGGCATTGCAGTGCACTGTGCCCCATGATGTGCTTTGAGATCTCCAGTACTGAGGAATCAGATGTTAACGGAAGGGCAGGATGCATATCTTTGATATCGGTGTATGCAGGAAAGCTTCCTTTGCATAAAGAATGAGGCATAAATCCTTGAGATTGGACAAGATGTTGCACATGCAGCAACTTCCTTGGTATCGGACAGGAGACGTGCTGGTTTGTTAGGGACAGCGAGTTGGGCAGCAGGCAGTTACGGTGTGACGCACGTCTTCTCTGGACTCCTCTGTCTCTCGTGACCACATTCAGCTGCTCTCTCTTCCAGAGGAGACAGAATCTCATTTCCAGCCTGACTGGCAAGCAGGGAACACTGGGTCGTATTTGGAGAATTCATGGGAGGAGCAGCTTTTGGAACAACAGGACCATTTGGGAAAGGAAATGGAAGAAGCCAAGAAGATGATTTCAGGTTTGCAGGTAACGGATTTCTTCTTAGCCCAGCGTTGCCTGCCATGTGCATTTCTTTTCTGACCAGCTGTAGCTGGAAGACAGGTTATTCTGCAGCTGGGACGCTGGCCTGGAACTCGAGAGAGCTGCATGCTTAACCCAGAGAGCCCAAGGGAGGAAGAAAGATGGCTGCAGTTTCCCCAGCCCCAGTATATTTACCTGGGTTTCAGAGAAAGAATTTTAACATCAGTCAGTGCAATTCAGATACAACTTTTTTCTTAGCTCAGACTTCTCCAAAACTCAGTGTTGACATGATTGGAGGCTCTTGTTCAGTAGGGTGGGAGAGAGAGGAAAATTAATTGCTATGAAGGCTGAAGATCAGTGATATCCACTAATAGCAATGTAGGTAGATGGTGAGAGGGCAGAAGGGCACACAAGGTAAGAACAGAACCACTGTAGAGAGTCTAAAACAAGGCCTGTGTGTAGAAGGTGATTGTGTTTTGTCTTTTGGTGGGAGTCCAGGTCCCAGCTGGGGTCGCTGGCTTGGGGCCCTGTCCTGTGATACATGTTGACTCCTGTGTGTGTGGTCACCGTGCAAAGCATGTCTGTTACTGTGCAAAATGGTGAAGGTTCATCGGTGTTTTCCCACGTGCTGGGACTGGGACTCCCCTTTTTCACCAGGGCACTTAGCAACCTGAGAGAATAGAGCAGTCCTTCTGTGGTTTGTGATCAGAAGTAATGCAGAGAGACAAGGAATGTCAAGAAATCAACTGAGATCCACAGAGCTGATCAGGGGTCACACAGACTTGCGTTGGTCTTTCATTGAGCTAGGCTGAACTATAATATTTGGCACTTTCTCTACACAACTACTTGTTTGTGGGAACCTTTTCCTTGGTGTCCTGTTCCAGACCTTTCCTGACCAAATGACCTCCAGCCCAATGTGTCTGTGTGACTCTGCATGGGGAGCAGAGCCCCTGATCCATATGGTAAAGACCCTGAACTCTCTCAGGAATATTCCTTTCTGTTTGTGCTGGGAACCATACTGGCTTTGAATTGTAAATATTTATGTGCCAGTAAACAAAGCAGAGATTGTGTGAGAAGCATAGGCAGGCAGGGCAGAGGGTGGGGTGTGGGCAGGGCAGGCAAACACTTTCCCTGTGGACAATGGGCAGGAAACAAAAGACTGGTGGGGGGGGGAAAGGCTGGGTTCACTGGTAAAATCCGGTTGCATTATGTGTCTGCTGGGAGCAGGGAGATGTGGCACTGGAGAGACTGGCATGTCCTTTTTCTCCAACCCTGGCCCCCCCCCACGTTTCAGGAGTGAGGGTGAGCAGCTGGCATTACTGCCCCTTCATCTCCTGGGAATAGGAAAAGGCAGCTGATGTTGCTAGCCAAGAAATTGGATTTGATTAATTGATTTTTTCCCCTTTTGCTAGATACTTAAGAGCCTCCCATTCATGAGAATTTGATTGAAGTATCAGGGACCTAATGTACATATAGCCCATAAGGTGCTAAACCCATGGCAGCTTTTTATGTTCCTGTGTGATTCCTGCTTGAGTGTCCTGCTGGGAAGGCCTTGGGATGCACTCAGAAAACTGTTTTCCAGAGAGCTGAATACAGATTGTATTTGCTCTTCGGCAGCAGTTGCAGCTCTTTGATGGAAGGTTCTGTCAGCAGGCAGAACCTGACCTGTCAGCCTTCAAGTCTTTTGGGGCTGAACTAGAGTATTACTGCAAATAGGATATTTTGGTTTCAGCCATGGAGTTCAAATAGAAATAAACTAGGAAGCTAGTTGAAAGAAAATTCAGCGTGTGCGGTTGTATGCAATATCCTGGCACATACTGCCTGTTGTGAGTCCTGGAAGTCAGAGACAGAAAGGTCAGTGTGAAAACCAACAGCTGGACATCCATCCTAGTCCTGGTGGTCCCTTCTTACACTGCACACTTTTCCCTCCTTCAGGCTGCATTCAGTTTGCAGTGGGCATTCTGGCATCTTCCTGCAGACCTCTGCGTCCTGTTTCTGAAGTTTTCTGTAGATGTGTGGTTGGGAGAAGGGCTTCTTTCAGCAGGGGACACTTCAGTCTCATTCCAGAAGAGAAGCCTTGCAATGGGATCCTGGTTCAGTCTCTTCTTCAGACTCAAATGTTATTGCAGTGAAGGCTACCCCTGGGCTGAAGCCCAAGACAGACTTTACTGCTTGAAAATCTGAGCTGTTGCCCTTGTTTGGTGTCTCTGTGGGGAAGAGTATTGGCTGGCAGATCTCTGGGAGAGCTTTCTCAGGGGGTAAATCATCTTCTTCATTCTACTCCTTTTTGAGGGGAGTACGTCAGCAGAAATGGAAAATGAAACTGTTTACATGGTATGAATGACTGGTAGCCAGAGCTGCAGCTAGCCTGTTTTCCTTTGAAACCCCTGAAGTGGAATTTTTTCCTTCTTCCCAGGCTTTGTTGCTCAATGGGTCTTTACCTGAGGATGAGCAGGAAGGGTCCTTTGAACTTTGTGAACATGGAGCCTGCTCTGAAGAGCAGCTGGTGAGCACTTTGCTGTATCTGCCTTTCTCCGCTCAAGCTGCCCTGTGCAGTGTTCTGCCCCAAGCAGGTGTCTCGCACAATAATAACCATGGAGTTTTCCTTTCAGATCATCATCCGAAGTCGCCTGGACCAGAGTGTGGAAGAAAACCAAGACCTAAAGGTTAGAGGGGGACAGATGAAGGGGGGAAGAGACTTTGGATCAGGAGATCTTTGCAGGCTCTGTCCTAGTTGATTTTGTTGGACAACTGAATGGGTGACATGGGGGATATATTGTGTTAGGGATCCATCTCCGTTTCCATATTTGCTGTGTGGCATCTCCATCCCTCCAGGAGCATAGATATCTGCTTCTCTGAGGCCATAATTCTCCCTGGAAAGCACTCACAATACTTGGCTGGGAAGTGTGTATCCATATTAGCAGATAATGCGTGTGGGATAGCACCAGAAAAGTATATGCTGCCTCCCCACTTTGCTGCAAGCCAGTGCTGGTGAAGTCACTGGCTGGTAAAACAAATATCTAAGTGGTACTGGAATTTAAATGAGCCCTGAAATATATTTTTCCTGCGTGCTCCTGAAGCTGAGGAGATCCAAATTGTACTGGACCAAAACTTTATCCAGGACAGCTGTTTACGTTCAGACATGGCTAGAAATTTCACAGTCTTTCAAGTAGGAAGTAAATGCAGCTAAGAACCACTCATTCCACCAAGCCTGCTTCTAGTTCAGCATTCTGCTGATGCTGGCTCTGGGACCAGTTCTGATGCTGGGAGAGAAGTATTTGATGATGCCCTGAAGGACAGGTTTGGGGGTCTAGGGAATCTTTTTCCTTCATAGCTTTAATAGCAGGGCCTTAGGGAGCTGCTCAACTGTTCTGTCACGTTCGTAACCCATTGAAATGGCTCAGGGCCTGATAGGCTCTTTGATCTGTGGGAGAAGGCAGGATGTGCTTTCTTCTGAAGCAGGTGTCTGGGGACAGAGGATGACATGGCTTTGGTTCGTTCTGAAGGGGTGTCAAGATGCCAATTAATCAAACTGTGTTGCATTTACAGAAAGAGCTATTGAAATACAAACAAGAATCTCGAAACCTACAGGGAATAAAGGTGAGGCAAGACGCGCTTCCTCGAAGAGTAAGGCTTTAGCGTCTGCTGCTGCCCGTGAATAGGGCAAGCAGCAACCACACACCTGAGGAATGTCAGACTGTGGAGGGAGTTTTATTAGGGAACTTGAAGTTGGGGGATCCCGTGGTCTGTTTCTGGCTCAGGGTGGAAGCTGCTGTTAAGGCAGGCAACCAGGAGTTAGGTCTCCTGGGTTCTGTGTCTCTTTGTAGGATTGTGGTCAAATGTCCCCTCCGTTGTCTGTTTCCCTGGAACATAACACGAGGCATAGGGTGACTGCTTGGTTCTCGTGGCTTTTGATTTTCCCCTCTCCTGGGCTATGTGCAGTGGGATTGGCACAGTGAACTCAGTCTTGACAGCAGAGAAAAAGAGCGCGGGGCTATGGTTGTCCTCCTCAGCTGCAGCGTTTTTCACAACTTCCGCTCCTGTTTGCTCAGTTTCAGCCCCTGAGGCTGTAACTACACTGAGCAGAGATAGTTTTTGAGCTCCTGTGAGGGCAGCAAACGGCTGTAGCTGCCCAAGGTAGAGCTCTCCACTTCTGGGTATCCCTCTTGAGAGAGGATCTCACTGCACACCTAGGTCACACTGAGCGGTTAAGTTTTGTTGTGTCCTTGGCTGACATTGGCATCTTTCTGCCCTCTGGATGTTGCAGATGTGTGGCTGGAGGCACTAGTTGAAGGTCACTGACAAGACCCTCCAAAGTCACTTGCTCTTTTCTTCCATGAAAGCAAATTGCTAGGTCAGTTCTGGAGCGGGAAGTTGAGATAGAAACACAGAAATCCCTTTGTCCCAGATGGCTGGAATGTTGGCAGGGAAATCAGCTTTGGGCAAGAGAAAGGCAGAAGGTCTAAGAGCCCGTTGGGCAGATGTCTAGGTACCTCCTGTTCTCTTGGGCCCTTGGCAACATTTCAGCCCTCTGAGTGGCCTCACAGTGTTATGGCCACTGGCCTAGGTCACTCACTGCCCAGGGAAGGGTCTCTGCCTCTGACTTGCACATTCCGACAGATAACATCTTTTCCTAGGATGCTTTACAGCAAAGGCTGGTTCAACAGGATGCTTCAGTTCTTCAGCTGAAGCAGGAACTGCTGAGAGCAAACATGGACAAGGAGGAATTGCACAACCAGAACGTGAGTCGCTGCTGCTGGGGGCTAGATTATTTTAGAAGGAGGGTGGTGACCCTGAGGGTTCCAGCAGCCACGGGAATGGGCTGTTCTTGGGGTTGTGGGAGAGTGAACACTGCACACAGTCTGCCAGCCAGATGTGAGACTCGCTGGAGTTTCCTGTTCTTCACTCCCACTTCCTATTCTCCAAGACCTTCAGCTGAAACGGGGGATGGGGCTTCCCATGATGTTTTCGGAACAGTTCCAGTCTTCCTTCCTCATTGTGTTCCCTGGACTAGCAAGTGGACAGGTGGAGCTGTTGTGTCCAGTGTCCTTCTGGAGAGAGAAGAGCTGGGAAGTAACTGTTCTGTCCAGAAGGTCCTTGGACATCAGCTTGCCTGAACTCTGCAGATATTTGGTCTCAGATCACCCTTTAGCACAAGGGGCA